GCAAGTTATGTTTGGCATCATCTTTCGTTTGTTTCAGCAGGAGCTCAGAAGACCAAAGACAAGCAAGTCATGAGATCAGAAGTGGAAATGATGGAGAAGGGTACTTGTCATTCTTATGTGTGCTAAACTTGAAGTATTGTAGAGGTTTTTTTATTTCAAGAGCGAAAGTGACTTACAGACTTATTTTCTGAATGGAGAACTTTGTAGTTTTGTCATGCAAACGATGAAACCATAAAATAACACTATATGATGGTAAAATTTTCATTACTTGTTTCTACATTATTAACCGTTAATTTAGCTAAAGAACAGAAATTTTGCTATGTTTGTGGCTCTTCGCGTATTAGGTTAAAGTTGTGTGCGGGAAGAAATCAATCTGTTTCACTGCTAAGATACAAATGTTTCGAAGAAAAATGCGGAAAGTTTAGTGGAAATTTTTATATGCAAGCTAAAGATGGCTCTCTTACAATTTATAAACAAGGTTGATATCAAAGATTTATAGAATGGCAAAATTTTGTCGCATCCATTAGGCTTGCTATTCATTAACACTGCTTATTTATGTAGAGTTGCTGACAGGTAAAATTTAGGCATTGAGGAATTCGAAAAATATTGTGATCTGGACTTTGTTTTTAAATGTTTGTGAAGTATATTGTTATAACCGCGTTAGTTAATATAGTAAAATAAACAGAATTAATAAATATATTTGAAGGGGCATATCTCTTTAAATGAGCTCTGAAAGGGTTTGATAAAAAATTTCATTTAAGAAGCTACAGTCAACTGAAGTTACACTGAAAGAGTCGTGAGATATAAAAATTTTGATAGCTAGAAATTTGATTTTCAGATATCAAGAGTTATGCATTTCGACAAGTAGGGGAAAGTGATCCGAATAATGTTGCTCGTTTTACAATGAATACTGAAAGGTAAATGGAAAAAGTTTTTGTTATGAATTGCTTTATTCGTTCAGAGGAAATGATACCCACTGTCCTTTCACCAATAAATTATGTGATCATAACTGCAGTTAAAATCTTTGCTTATTCAAATACCGAATATCCTTTTTCAGAAACACAAACATATGCAATCAAAGAGGAGAAAATCATCAAAACGGAAATGGTCACATTGTGGATACTGCTTCATCAAAATCGCATGACTCACCAGCATTAATCACTCTGACCAAAAAGATGCCTGAAGTAAATATAATATTGACTTATTGTCTCAAAATCTTTTTATAATTGCTAATATTCGCATATATTTCAAGTGGTTTTATTTAGGAATTGAAAAAATCATTTTCTAAGATCTGAAAAAGGAATTTCAGCAAAATAAAGAAGTTCGATCGCGAAATATGGATATTTCTTGCACATACTTAAATGAAACAACTAGAAGGTATTCGGAATTTACTTGGTGTAAAGATGTTTTTGTGATATTGTCTGTTGTTGGTAGTTAATTTTAAAATCTATTCGAGGTATTGCTTAAATGAGTTTGCTAATATTCGAGAAGATTTAGAAACAATAAAGCAGTTTGATGTTTTACCGAAGTTAATTTTCAAGGACATTTGATTTTTTAAATAAAAATTTGTTGTAAAATGTATTTCATAGCAAATCTTTATTTAAAGAATCTACCACTGTACTTCTCAGAATTGTTTAGACAACGGAAGGGCGATGTTGAAAACAGTTCAGTCAAAACAGCCAATGATGTAACAACGTCATATTCACTAGCAGTTGAGCACCGTCCTGTGGTCAGTTGCGATTCATATTACAGTAGATTTGCGATATACAACTTCTCTTTTTCAGTTTTCTTCATTTTTAAATACACAACAATCTCTTTTTATCGGGAAGTTCGATGTAATTTCAGGATAGTTTATTGCCAGTTGACGAACCTGCTATGAAATCGAACGAGGTTAAAAAATCAAACACAGATTATGTAAATGCAAAAAGGAAACAAAATACTTTGAGGTTTGTTTCAAGTTGCATTTTGACTGTACCACACCCATTCTGTTTTAACTGGTTCTTGTTGTTGTCATTTTGTTCTTCTCTTAGTATTCAGATTTGAATTCTTACTTAAATATAATCAGTGCTACGGAACTCTTAATTATTGAGATCTAATTCACTGTAATGTTTTAGAGAAAAATCAGGATTTAGAACGTTCAAGAGATTGAAGTTGGAAAAGGATAAAGTCAGCGAAGAAGCAGTCCTCACCGAAAGTAATGTTGCTCATCTGAGTTATCTGGTAAGCGATATGAGTATTTCTGCTGATATGGTGAGAGGAACTTTATTGTTTGCTCACATTTATTCATTGTTGAAAGTCACTGTAGCATTAACTGCTTGAAAATAAAAATTTTCAGACAATTAATGCTACAATCAATTCGAAAGTAGCATTTACTCAAACAGAAATGGATGACGATGGCGTAGTAAATTTGCTGCTTGATGAAGTGGTCAAATGTGATGTAAGGTATGTTGTTTAAATGTTCGGTTAATGTGCAGATGTAAAAAATATCATGGATAGTTTGTTGTTTAAAAACATAATTTAATTTTTCATTGTTTAAAAAGTTTTCTTTTAGAAGTAGCATCACTAATCGGGCACACTTACTTCGACAAATCAAAGTAGCTCAAACGCTTCTACATTTACAGAATAAAGAAATTTGTATGTTGAAGGAAGAGAAGCGTTTGTTTAATGCTGTTCAAAAAGAAACAAAGAGTTATATTTCTGAATTGAAGTTTGTCTTTAATTTATTTTTTACAAGTCACAATAAAACTGTGTGCGTCATAGCTTCTCGTAATATAAGATTTATTTTTTAGGAAAAAATGTACTGCGGATTTTTTGCGCATTCGAGATGAAATATCAGTTTTGACAAAAGATTTTCGATTATATCTTCTTGACTTACAGAGAGCTTGTAAAAGAGTAAGTTACATCACTAGCCTAATTTCAGCTTTTATGCTCGTTTTGTGATAATTGATAATCCTTAAATTCTTATTTAGTGCTCAGAAAAAATGGAAGAAGATAAGATGAAGTTCATTATTGTGGCCAATAATTATGAGAAACAAAATGAAACTCTTAATGTGAGTTAATTCTGCATGAATTTCATGAAACTTTTGTATTATTTCAACTAATTAGTGGATTTTTCAGAACAAAATAGCAGATCTAGAAAAACGGTTGGAATTAAGCGATGATTTGATTTATAATCAGAAACGTGAATTATTGGTAGCAGATCGTGAAATGCATTTAGCAAACGAAAATGTTGCTGATATTCAAAAAAAATTAGAAGATAAATTATTTCTTGGTAGGTGGTGATTATACCATTAAATTGATATATAAACATTTGATATATGAGATCAGTTTTTGTTATTAACTTCCTGAGTGATTTCTATATTCGCGCATAAGCGATTAACTTAATGATGACGGCTCTAAATCTCATTCATTATTTTCTGTTGAATAATTTCAAGCGTTATAGTCAAAGTTTACTATGTAGTCATCAGTTTACTTATATACTTGATGTTGCAGGAAGTTGCTGTATCTTTTTTACTCAGTATTTGTTGAATTTGTTTTAAATCATTATTTTTCATAGATAACTTGAGTTTGTAGCATCTCATGCAAAATGCACGTCTTGTACAGTTTTTGAGAAATTGCGAGATACTTTGACAACACAAATTGTTGACAAAACAAATGCACTATCCGCTGCAGAAATTATGATAAATGAGGTGAATGTCTTATAACATTTTTATCATTCTTTACTCATTTGTTCGTATATTTTTCATATTTTTCTTTCACTGATTGGATGTAGACTTTTCCATCACTAATTGTCCTTTTTAGCTGAAAGTAAAATTGGAGAAACAAGAGCGCGCATCTTTGATTATGTCTAAAGAGATTCATCGAATGAAATTTGAACGGAGCTCTTATGTACTAGATTTCAAACGTCTTGAAGCTGAAGTAATATTTGTTTTTTCCTATAAATAACTGTTAAATACCTAGTTAGGTGCCAGTATTATATTCTGTATTGTTCAGTTTTGACCATAAAATTATATTTTTTAGCTTACTGTTGCCTTTGATATTGTGACTTCATATTGACAGTTTTTACTTGTATATTATATTGACTTAATAATTAAATCATAAATGAATTGATGTAGGTCAGCTGTTTACGAAAACGAATGAAGGAAGGAAATGTAGATTTAAATAATTCATCGGTGTCTTCGAAATCACTTTTCAACAATCGAGAAAGTTTGATTAAATCTAGTGGTTTGCAATGTGATTTACTTATCCGGATAATCTAATTTGAATGTTTTTTACAGCATGCTTTTTTATTATTGAAATATTAACTTTTTAAATTCGTGAATATTTCTGTAATAATCGTTATAATTTTCTAAAATTCCTAGACAATTCATCAGCATCAGCACTTCCTATTCGGTCTACTAATAACACACAGAAATCATTTTCGTTAGAAACTCCTCAACCAGATAAAGTACTTCCGGAATTGGAAAACATTGAAAAGGTAAGAAAAGCTATGAAATTGCGATTTACCGTTCAAATTTTCTAGATAATCATTTTAGTCTATGAGATTTCATGTTTTCCTGAATCTCTAATAAACGAAGCAAATTGATTAAACGGCTGCTTGAAACATATATATACTTTAGGTTAGGTATTCTTGGATTACAACGGTTCAGAACGAAAAGGGCATTGTAACTCAGCAGAAACCTGTGCAAATTGCTGACGGTATTTCTCAGCATGTTCTTCAGAATAAAAGTGATGCAGTGGATGTTCATGATGGGTGCCGTCCAATAAATAAGCAGGCTGTAGTGAAGGGCGCGCAAAGCAGTAAATTTATTAGTAATAGTCATGGCGCAAATTCTAAGAAATGCACCAGTCGGATTCAAAGTTGTAATGTAGCATATACTGATTCAGGAATTGAATCTTTAGAAGTGGCGTCCGAAAAAAATTTAAGTAGTGAAAATTCATTGAATATAAATAATAAAAACAAGGAGAGACATTCGGAGGTTACCGGAACATTTAAAGTGCAGACGTTATTGTTGCATCCAGCACGAATGGATTCAATCAAAATTCCTGAGTCGAGTAATGAAATTCAGAACTCGCTACGAACAGGAAAAAGTGACTCAGAAAATGCAATACAAGTAATTTTTTTACTTCGTTAAGTACTTCAAATTGAGAAGTATAAAAAAAGTTCGTCGTTTTTAGTATTTGACATCGGAAGTTGTTGTGCTTAGTTCATTGGGCTTATCCTATTTCTCAGTGAACTTTTTTAAATCATATCCTAAACTTTCAATTTGCCATCTGACTGTATTTTTTAGGGTTTGGAATTTAATAACAACTAGAGCATAATAAAAAACATGTAAATTAGTTGTTTAGTTTTTTTGTTTCATAATTTTAATCAAATTGTCTGCTCATAATTGAATAATTTTTATATCCTTAAAAAACTACTGAGTTCGTTCTTCATATGTTTGATTTATAGGATGCGAGAAAATATAAAGACGAGAGATTTGCTCAAGAAGATTCTAAAGAATTGCAAGTCAAGTTAGATCTAAATTTTTATTGAACGAGATCAGTATTATCCTTTAAACTATAGTTATTTTAAGTATTTACTGATAATGGTTTTCGTTCTAGGGAATTACATGAGAATTCTCGAGGTGTTTCATCAGCACACAGATCTTTTCTTTGTTCACGTACTTCACTGCCTAACACAAGACCTTGTCTAATAAATAATAAATTCTTTCCATCAAGGCCTCCACTTCCTTGGCATAAAAAGACTGTGGTATTTGAAACTTTATATCGCTTAAGCATTTTTAAATTGATTTTTTGATGATTTGGTTTCCATGAAAATTTGCTCGACACATTCCATATTTAATATATACTGCAAATTTAGGATAATTCTTTACCACCATCATCTTTTCCCTCGCAAAATTCTGTGGGAAGCACCTCATCTTTCAATGCTCCGGTGATTAAATTACCTCTGCAATCCAATGAACGATCTAGAGTTCGAACTATTTTTGGTATTGGTCAGCGCAGTGCCTCCTCGAAAGCTATCTCAACTTCCCTCTTTACAGTAAGTACGCTAAATGAACGTGTTCGGAACTTCGAAAATTATGTGTCTACAATGAAAAGCAAAGTTTTTGATATCTAAAATCTTTCATCTTGCTGTACTCTACATTAGAAGCTCAAAAAAATGTGAAAGTATTCTTTATTTAGGACAAAAATAGTTCAGAAGTTCATGAATTATCAAATCCTTGGAAGGTGCAAGTAAACCAACGGCAAGGAAGTTGGAGCTTCGAAAAAGATAATTCATCAAATACATGGAGAGCAAAGCGTTTGCGTATTGCAAAGTATCTTTGAAGTTTTTTTTTTTTTTTTTTT